CCCCCCCCCCAGAGATGAGGAGCTGTTCCAGTATCTGCTGCAGCTTGTCCAGGTGCTCAAGTATGAATCCTACTTAGACTGTGAATTAACCAAGTTCCTGTTGGACAGAGCTCTATCCAACCGCAAAATAGGGCACTTCCTCTTCTGGCATCTCAGGTAAGGGGTGATTGACCAAGTGCAGGTCAGACCCACCAAATGGCATCATGGGATTATTTTGCGGGGTGTTTCTCTCGCTGCTTCTGTATCAAGTGGACTCCTTTTGCAAGGGCAAAAAACTAGGGGGTGACTTTGTTCAAAGCTTCTTGAGGGACTTAGGAACGTCCGGCCAGTGGGTTTTCGATAGAACTTTTGATTCCCGAGTCAGCGAGGTGCTCTGGACAGTTTTACTCGCTCGTTCTTATTGTCAGCTCCACAAACTTGTCCTGAAATCTGAAAGGTGAGAAGTTGGCCCCTTTCTTCCGTTCAGATCATCAGGTTTCTGGACAGCCTGGAGCTGGTGGGTACCCAGCACTGCATTCGCTTGTTCAGTGAAGGATGGGAGGTGGCATCAGGTTTTTTTGTGTGGACACAGCGATTGATTTTAAACCTGGCTCATACTGGTTCAGCTGGCACCTGCGACTCCTGTGTGAGATCCTGAAGCAACCTTGCCTTTTTGGGACAGGATCCATCCTTCTCCCTCTGTCCCTTAATGCAGCCATCTCAGTGAATGGGGTGCTCACTTTTGGGGTGCCTTGTAGGGCCTGATTCTCAGAGGGTTGGGGGCTCATGCTGGGTCCCCAAAATCAGCTGTTACTTCCTAAATTGGGGACTTCAGTGGCCAGTGCTCAAAAGGCTGTGCTCTTGGCAGGCAAGGCTGAGCTAGTTAGCCATCCAGAAAGAAACTTTGTTGCTTCAGGCACTGGATTTTACTTCAGTTCCCTCTGGTTTTTTGCCCTCTCCATCATACATAAAAGGAATCTGAATGGAGCCATTAACACTTGTCCTGCAGTGGCCTGAACGGCAGCTGCAGTCACTAGCTGCAGTGAGTCAGGTTAGCTTTAATCTCCCCCTTGTCTCTAGGTCAGAAATGCATGTCCCAGCAGTCGCTCTGAGGTTTGGCTTGATCTTGGAGGCCTATTGCAGAGGCAGCACCCACCACATGAAGGTTTTAATGAAACAGGTAAGGGCTGCACTCAGCTGCTTGTCATGGGTGTGTGCTTTGCGCGTAGCAGTAGTCTGTTACTGTCCAGTCACGTTTCAGTGGAGTGGCTTCAGTGCCTTTGTAAAAGCCTGGAGTTCCTTGCCACATGTGGTTTCCATTGCCCCCACACCCCTCCCCTTCCTAGAAAATGGATCCAAGTGAAGCTGCAATCTTCGCAGCCGTGCTGAACACGCGGAGCAGTCAGCAAGAGGGCTTGCACTGCAGTTTCCTGTAGGTAGAGCTCAGTCAGAGCTCCTGACTCTGCTCTTGATTCGTAGTCTGAGCTGGGCCAGGTGATTCTGTTGCTCCGTGTTTCAGTTCCTCCCTGCGGGCATTTGTAAAGTACTTCCTTGTCACTGGCTCAGAGGTGTGGCAGAAGCTCAAAATGTTGTCTGTGACCATTAGAAGCACAGGTCCGTGAAATGCCCTATGGTCATGACCTCATCCTAGGCCAAACCCAAGATACAATTGTAAATCGACTCCCTCTCTTGTGACTCAAGGCATGAATGTGAACTTCAGCTCCTAAGAGGAGCTTGCCCACCACCAGAACCCCCAAATTATACTGCAGGAGAGAAGACACTTTAACCCTGGGGCCGTGGGTTTGCCAGTTTTCCACCTGTGGAAAACACCTGGCCACTCAGCTCCCTGATGGAGTTGCCCTGTACAGTCCACGCTGGCAGTTCAAAAGTAGTTTGGCTCGGTGATGCAGGAGTGCTGATGAAAATGAAGGACCCACAGGACTGTTAACAGCACTGGCCAGTGCGTGTCAGCTTTGATCTCCAGCAGTTCTGCCGTTGCAGTGCAGGGGTCCCCACACCGACCTGCCAGAGCCCTTCACTCCTGATTGACAGCACCCTCTGTTACTCTGTTCCCCCAGACTGAGCCGCAATACTCCCTGCTCCTTCAGGACAGAGTCCTCCAGCTCAATACAACCTACCTCTGGCCTGCAAAACTCCCTGCGGTTCCAGCTGTGGCCTGCCCTAGAGCAGATGCTGCCGAGGCACTGCACTGCACTGCAGTGAATCGCCCTGAGAGGCAATGCTTGACTTCCCTTTGTGGCCCTAAACAGTCAAGATCTGTATCTTTGTCCGGAGGATTCTTCTTGACCTGCTTTCCCCTGTCTCCGCACCAGGGGGAAGCACTCAACAAGATGAAAGCCTTGAACGACTTTGTGAAAGTGAGTTCTCAGAGGGCCACCAAGCCCCAGACCAAGGAGATGATGCATGTGTGCATGAAGCAGGAGACCTACCTGGAGGCCCTTTCCAATCTCCTTTCTCCCCTGAACCCCAACATTATCCTTGCTGAAGTGTGGTAAGGAAGGGTATTGCATCTGCAAGGTGGAGGGTTGTATTGCTATTCGACAGGAAAGCCAAAACCACTGGCTTTCCTCAGGCCTCTGTGCTCACCACGAGTGTTTTGGGAGCACTTGAGGCATCTGCGTTCGGGGCTCGAACTCCCCCCCCAGCCCCGTGTCCCACCAAGCCAAACCTGAAGGGTTTTCTCCCTCCTTCCTCAGTGTGGAGCAGTGCACTTTCATGGACTCCAAGATGAAGCCTTTGTGGATTGTGTTTAATAATGAGGAAGCGGGCGGCGGCAGCGTGGGCATCATTTTCAAAAATGGAGATGGTGAGTCCTGAGCAGAAGCGCAGCCCCCAGCAGGCCAGCAGGGATGTTACACCTTATGCAGAGTCCAGGGCCCAGCTGGGCGCTCTGCGTCCTGCCATTACTGGGTAGCTAACAAGAGCAGGGAGGCCAGGGCCTCGACAGCAAGGGTTCCCAGTGGGGATGTGACCTGCAGCCTGCCATTGCTGTGGTGTGCTGTAGTTCCAGCCTTTCACAGCAGCAGCCACTACATTTGTCACTGCCAAAACACCTTCTCTTTTAATATGTAATTCTCAGTGGCTTCAGCCCTGTTGAGAGGGGCCTGGTGAAGCATCCCAAAGGCTGCCCTGGGCACAGCCAGTGGCAAATGGATTTGCAAATGAGTGTGCCCTGCTGAGCACTGTGGAGGAGGGGCAGGGCACCAAAACTTGCCAGGTGGTTGGGGCACTTGTACCCCCTGATGGCCACTGCAGCAAGTGACGAAAGTAGGAAGTGCCTCCTCCATGCACACGCCCGTTGTGGGGAGAAGGGGAGGGAGCTCGGGAGAAATCTAACCAGCTCCCATTTGCGATGCCTGAGCAGATCTCCGCCAGGACATGCTGACGCTACAGATGATCCAGCTGATGGACGTGCTGTGGAAGCAGGAGGGCTTGGACCTGCGGTGAGTCATGGGTGCTGAGTCACCGGTGCCTGCACTGAGTCACTTTCCATCGTCCCACGTTGCCTCTGCCTTGCGGCTGAGGGGGATGGCTCGGCGATCCCAGCCGCGGTCCTTTTTGGCACGGGAGATTGCTTATACAACTGCCCTGAGAAGGAAGCTGCAGGGTGGTGGGAGCCTTGGGCAGAGCTGAAGAGCAGAGCTGGCAGCACCCGCTATGGGTCTGGAGTGGGAAGGAGGTGGGGACAAGTGGAATGGGGTGAGGGAACTTTCCATGTGCTCGAGAGGAGCTGCCCATGGTTGAGATGAGCCTGTTCCTGTCGCCACAGTGGTTTTGGCCTTGGCGCAGTAGTACAGGAGGCAGAGTCACCAAGTGGCAAGAGCAGGACTTGGGCAGTCCTGGGCTCCACTCCAGGCTCTGCTGCTGATGCACTTGGCTGAGTCACAGTGGCTGCTCAGGCCTCTGCTGCTTCCCCATCATCTTTCCTTCTCTCGGTTGGGTTGAGACAAGGGGGGTGCAGAGCCTCTGGTTAGAGGCAGGTGTTTGGGTGAAGGCATCTCTTACATCTTTACACCCAACGGCCCAAGTTTAAAACTGCCCTCAGCCGCTGGCGGGCATTTGTCACCCTTGCGGGATGATGCCTGCTGTGGGCCAGGCGACCAAGGCCTCTCAAAGCTTCCTTGTGGCCAAGCACGAAGGCTCGAGGCTGGGCCCGTGGACCCTAACCCCTGCAATTCCCTCTTGGTGAAGTGAAGGAGGAAAGTCCTAAAAGCAAAGCCAGGCTGACTCTGGGCGAGGTCTCAGTGGAAGGGGTTTCTCTCGTCTCTGCAGGATGACCCCTTACGGCTGCCTCTCCACAGGCGACAAGACGGGGCTGATCGAAGTGGTCATGCACTCGGACACCATTGCCAACATCCAGCTGAACAAAAGCAACATGGCGGCCACCGCTGCCTTCAACAAGGATGCGCTGCTGAACTGGCTGAAATCCAAAAACCCGGGGTAGGTGGGACTGTCCCAGCTGCGCTCGCCTCCAGCTGAGACTCTCGCAGTGGCTTGGCTCCATTGCCCCCTCCTTTCTTGACTGCTCAGCCGGTCCCTGCTCTGCTTTGAACTTCCGCAGCATCCAGCAACAGTGGGGTGTGGGTGGCAGCTCTGGGCTGTAGCTTCCTTCTCTCACCTCCTGTTATTTCCTCCTCAGAGCCTGATACACCCGCAGGCATCTCCCCTGAGTCTCTAATATCCTGGGGTAGGATCAATTCAGCCCTTCCCTGAGCTACAAAGAGGCTGTTTTTCCCAAGTTTGGTCCCACACTGGAGGCTTGAGAAGTGTGGAGCTCAGCGCCCACTGCTTCATTTGGAGTTGCAGATGCTCTGTACCAATCAAGCTCAGGCACTTGATTTGCTATGGGAGAAACAGATGCAGGGGGGGCCACACCCTGTCTGAACCTACAGGGACAGTCTGTGGGGGGGCAGGATGGAGCCCAGCCCCACCAGCCATCCAGTCCCCTGGAGCTTTGGATACCTGGAAGATGGTCTGATGCCATCTGATTTAGTTAAGGTCAAGCAAAGAATTGTCCCCTCCAGCAGGACAGCAGAGAGGAGATAGACTCTCTGTAGAGGGTAATGCAAAAAAACACTTCTCTACTGAGCTTGTGCCCAAGCCTGGCCCAGCAGGTTTCCGTGGGGGACACCAGAAGAGAGGGAAAGGACCTGAGGTTTACAGCGGGGCTGACCTCTCGTTGTTTCCCTCCCTCAGTGAAGCGCTGGAACAAGCGATCGAGGAGTTCACGCTCTCCTGCGCTGGGTACTGTGTGGCGACGTATGTCCTGGGGATAGGAGACAGGCACAGCGACAACATCATGATCCGGGAAACTGGCCAGGTATGGGTGTGGGGCCACTGGGACCCAAGCGCTCGCAGCTGTCTGTGCAGATGGTGGGGGGAAGAGGAACAGAAGCAGTCCAGTGAACAGTCCAGTGTGGGAGCCACTGAGGCTCAAGTAACTGTCCCTTTACCCTTCACCCAGAGGTCAGGCTGCAAAGGTGCTCCTAGGAGCTCATCCTGGCATTGGACCCATTTCCTAATTTGCAGTTTCTTAATGCAACATCGAGCCTCCTTCCCTGCACCCTTACCAGGCTGGTGTGTTATCCCTGCTGGCCCTCTGGTGTCTGCTCCTGTGGAGCCAGGTGGTTACTCTGGCTTCCCATGCTGAAGCTTTCCTTTTGTGCCAAGAGGGGCTTTTTACAGGGAGGGTGAAGACGCTCGAGAGCAGGGTTACCTGATAGGACTGTCCTGTAGCTGCTCCTGAGAAAAGTGCCCTGGCAGCTATGGGGGGTGGAGAGGGTTAACCTTCACAGCCATCACTCTGGGGACACAGGACAAAACTGGGGAAGGAAAAGTCCTTTTGCCCACAAGCCACACACTGGACGCTGCCACTGTCTGCAGGGAAGAGATGGTTGCCACAGTTCATGTTCAGTCTGTATAAACTGAGTGACAAGAAATAACGGTCACAAGCTGGCAGAGGGTAGATTTAGGCTAGATATCAGGAGGTGCTACTTCATGGTCGGGACGGCTAGGATCTGGAACCAGCTTCCAAGAGAAGTGGTGCTGGCTCCTACCCTGGGGGGCTTTAAGAGGAGGCTGGATGAACGCCTCGCCGGGGTCGTTTGACCCCAGTACTCTTTCCTGCCATGGCAGGGGGTCGGACTTGATGATCCGCTCAAGTCCCTTCCAACCCTACCTACTGTGAAACGAGCTCTGCTGAGCTCTGAAAGGCACAGCGGGGGAGATGCACATCACTCCAGGCAGACCGACTCTGCCAGAGCCTGCTCCTGTAGCTTCCCGCAGGCCCCGCTCTTGGCTCTCACTGCGGGAGATCCCTTTGGTAGAACCAGCGCAGCTATTGCAGTGGTGAGAAACCTCACTGAGACCTAGTGAAGCCTTTGCTGTGGGGCTGCCCTCTCCTACAGATTGCAGAGAGCTTGGCTGGTAAGGGGCTGCCTTCTTTCCCAAGCACATGCTGAGAGGAGACCCTGCGAAGGGAAGGAGGGCACTGCATGGCTGGGGACAGTCTGCTCCCCTCTCCACTAGAGGGTGCTGACATCCTTCAAAATACAGCTCCAGCTGCTTGGTGTTGGTGTCAGTTAGTGCAGCTTTGCAGAAGGGTCATCATGGAAATGCACCAATCCCCGTGCAAAATCCTCTTGCTCCCCTTACTATGGAGGAGATGAAATCACTGGTTATTTGCCTATCAAGAACCTAACCAGAGCAGGATTTTGTAGGCATGTCAGAGGGTATCCTGCTTCCAGGCATACCCTGGGACAGAGCATTACAGTTGGGAGTAACAGCTGGCCTGTCTCTAGTTCTTCTGCCACCAGCGGTGAGTCTTGCCAAGGCTTTAGAAGAACATAGAAGTCCCCCAGGCATGGCAGGGGCTGCTGAGGTGAAGTCCATCCCATCCCATCCAGTACACAAGTTACATCCCAAGCATTACCCACATTGCTTCATAACCTGGTGAATAAATACAGGGACTGACGCAGGAAAAGCAATTTCATCTTCCCCACAAGACAGTGTCTGGCTGAAAGGGGGTGACAAATCCTGGGCCCTCACTGGGCCCCAATTATTTCAGACCCACCCACACATCCTGCGAAGGCAGGAGTTGCTATCCCCCCCGAGTTGTCATGTTGCACTTTAACAGACCTTTTCCACTTGAATTTCAGCTGTTCCATATTGATTTCGGCCATTTTTTGGGGAACTTCAAAACCAAATTTGGTATCAACAGAGAACGGGTCCCTTTTATCCTGACCTATGACTTTGTGCACGTAATCCAGCAGGGGAAAACGAACAACAGTGAAAAATTTGAAAGGTAAGCGAGCACTCCTGGCTAACAGCCACTGGTCTGTCTGAGCCCCAAGCGTACTGCCTGTAGCCAGTGTTGCCTGCCTCGCAGCACAACATTATTCCCCGCCCTCTACTTTGCAACCACAGGGGTGATTCAGCCTGAAGGAGGGAAGGTGTGATTGCTTATGTTTGAAATGGTCTGGGCTCTCCCCTCACACTGCTTGAGCAGGCAAACCCAAGGATATGTCACTGCTATCGCTGCAGCTGTCTGCCCTCTTCTGCTGAGCCTTCGGTTTTAAATAGATGCATTTGGAGGATACAGCCCAGCCCTGGCCTTTCCTTGATGGGGCTTTGGGTCTGGAACGGGAGCAGTGGCAAATGGTGCCTTCTGGCCTAGACTGAACACAAGCTGCTGGCATTCGTCCTTCCCAGTGCTCCCTAATGTGCCGTGTTTTGGTAAGCAAGTGGGAGGCACTGATGGTCCCTCAGGACATCTATACATATGCTCTGGGGTGGAGAGGGGTATGCTTTAACTAGAGCAGCTCCCAGAGCCTCCGTAACTAAAGCATCTGCAGCGTCCCATGTATTCAGCATCCTGTGCTTCAAAATGGCAGCCGGAGTGTTTGAACAAGCTTTACATAAAGTGCCCCGCCGCTATTTTGAAGCACAGGGATGCTGAATAGATGTGAGGTAGAGGCTGCTGGAGCACGTTAATTAACACACTCCAGCAGACGCGATTAATCGAGTCTGCACTGACATATGCTAATTAGCACTCATCAGAGCAGACGTCTAGCACGTGTATAGGTCTCCTCAGAAGGCATCCACACACAGGGCAGCAAATGCATGTGCGCCCAGCTGGTTACCAAGGTGTAATTCATCAGATGGAGCAGCTGACACCAACTTGCAGACTATTGTGTCTAACTTGGGAACACGCTCCAGCTGCTGCCCTTACTTCCTCTGCTCCCTCTTCTCTTCCTGAGCAGATTCAGGGATTACTGTGAAAAAGCCTACATGATCCTGAGGCGCCACGGTCTCCTCTTCCTGCATTTGTTTGCACTGATGAAAGCTGCTGGCCTGCCAGAACTCAGCTGCTCTAAAGACATTCAGTATCTGAAGGTAAGAGAGGCTAGGCATGGGGGGGGAAGGTGGGGACAGACAGGGCAGGCGCTCAAGGTAAGAGGTGGCTTAGTGCGTAATCTTGTATGTTAGAAAGGATGGGAGCTGAAAGAGCAGCCTGTTCTGCAGCTTGCCTCATAAAAACAGGGAGTAGCTAGTCTGGCAGCTGGGCCTCGGGCTTCTGAAATGCCTCGGCTTTCTGCAGTTCCAGATCACCCCATGCAGAGTGTTGCTGCTTTATCAGCTCTGCTGTGCTGAGCATGTCTGGCAGTACCAGTGCTCAGGCTAGTCCATGTTTTTCTTCATCGAGCATCTTCATAAGCTGCGACTTTTAGGGGGAAAAAAAAAAAATCCTCTACCAGGTGGCCCTGCAGTGGCTCAAAACAAGTATAAGTAAACCAGCCCTTGACCACCCTGGGGGCTTTTCTTGCAAATCACTTTGCATGGTTGGCAGTAGGACCCACTTCTATCCTCAGCTCCTTTCCCTGCTGGCTTTCTAGCCAGCTGTTGTACACAGCTGCACTGTGGTAGAGGCAGGGATGGAAGTAATGGTTTTGGGAGCAAGCCAGTAGGAGGCTGGTGTGTTAATTTCTCTGTTAAAGTCTCTTGTTTCTCACCTGCCTTTAAATCTGGCCTTGTCCAGCTGCATTAAGTGTAACAACACATCCCATCTGCCCATAACTTCATCTGCTTTAAAAGGGGCAGAGGAGCTGCTGTTCTGGAGCAGGCATCAGCTGTTGTTTGTTACAGCTGCTGGACTCTAGGGCTACAAGTGAACTAACTGAGCTAAATCACCCTAACTTGGAGCAGAGCAAAGCAGGGTTACAATTGGAGCACGTCTGGCACACCCGTATCACAACAGGATGGTGCAGACTTAAAAGCTGCATGGTAGCAGCCTGTGTGGGTATGCTTTGACTGATATGACTGTTTGATACACAACCTATTTCCTTTGCTCCATCAGGAAGAAAGAGGATAGGGTGACTAATTGCCAAATGTGAGCCCTGGGAGTGCCCCGCGGGAGGCGGTGCACCCTTGCCGTTAAAGACCGCTGAGCTGTGCTGCCAGACGGTCGTTTTGCTGCAATGATAGCAAAGCCAAGCACTCATTTCTGCCTCTTCCCTTCAGGACTCTCTAGCACTGGGAAAAACAGATGAGGAGGCGCTGAAGCACTTCAGACTAAAATTTAATGAAGCCCTTCGAGAGAGCTGGAAAACCAAAGTGAACTGGCTGGCGCACAATGTCTCCAAAGACAACAGACAGTAGAGCAACTGACTCAGCCTGTGCACTTGCTCTGAGGGAATGTAATGGTGTCTGCACTGATGCCAGAAGTTGCTGCCTATGGTAGACAGTTTTCTAAAACCTGCTGAACGTTGCCACGTTAAGAATCCCTCACCTGCATCCCTTAGAGATTGCGTTCCAGAAGTTTCTGCATGCCCAAAAATTGTTGGACCACCATGAGCTGCATAAGCCTGCCTATTGTAGATCATTAAAGGCCAAAGGAGAGACGAGGCAATATAATTACCATAGCCAATAAGAGGTAGGTAGATGCTCTATGACCATTACACTTAAAAACATGCTTAAAATACACCATTTAAATGGAAGAGTCAAGGCAGTTGTGATGTAGTTTAAAACTGTACGCAGGCGGAGTGTTTCAGCTATGTCAAGACAATGCTTTTATTTGGAGCTGTGCTCCAAGACGGACTGTGTTTCAGCCAGCAGCACAGTGAGTTTTTAAAGCCAGGCAAGAACAAATACTGCACTAGCACTAAGTGGAACATGTTTACTCGTGGCATCAGACATTAAGCCTGTTTCTGTGTAAACAAGGTGGAGGGCCTGCCTGGCTTTGCTGTTGGGCGATTGTCTTTCGTGGCAGATCTCCCAGCACCTTGCCTCTACCCATTCAGGGATGTAGTAATAAAGCTTCACCAGATGGTTGCCTGATTCCAGACAGACTGGTGCCTGTTACTTCTGCACAGTAGAGAGATCACATGGGCAAACTGATGTACATATGCTTTTCATAATTGCCCAGTAGCTGGGAAAGATTACTGAAGTTTCATATTCAGCAGGGAGGATGGTATCTGTTGTAGTCTTCAATAAACTGGCCTGCCTTGCTGAGGAATGAGCGCACAGTGCACAGACTTAATAGCTCAGTGTTTGAGGAGGCAGTGTGGTGCCTGCCAGCTCTGACTAGGTACACGGTGCACTTTCAGTCAGACCTGGAGTCATGTTACTGGTTTAGCCCCTTAACAAGACAGACCTGAAATGCACTGCTCATCCAGCCTCTCTCTACTGCCTTCAGTTTAGGCTTTCAAAAAATGGGTTTACACTCTCAGGCCCTGCTCCTGTGTTGCAAGGGTTTGGAGCAACACAGATCAGTGGCATCTATTTTCTTTTTAAAGTGCAATAGACAAAGTTACATCACAACGAACAGGCAAAAAGTGAACAATTTGTGAGGTGCTCTGCCTAAATGCAGCACACCCTAAAAAGGCATTGCTGCAGTCCCGCAAATCAACTTACCTACAACAAATCAGAATCAAGTGGGCTTTCTTCCTTGGGGGCTAGTGAAATAACTCTTGCTATCTTGTCTAGCAAAGCAACAGGCTGCTGGGCCGGGTCAGTCAGGATTCCCTTTCCCACGGTGCAGAGCAGAATCTTTATCTGATCTCCCCCACAGCAAGTTGAGGGGAAGGGTACGTTGAAGCTTACTCAGTCAGACCCCACTGTAAATAAATCTACTTGTACAACAAATAGTTACATTCCTTTAAACAGTGATAAGCTTTACTTTACTACTACTTCTATTTATTTAGGGAGGTGTTCATGACTTCTTGCTTTGTGTGAACTGATTGTGCCTAGTTTGCTGCCTTTGAAAAAATGATTTATTTTTTTAAGCCCCGCATGGTTTTTGAAGGAAAAGATGTTTACATGTTCGACTCTTCAGTTACTTCTAATCTGTGACTTCAGATGCATATTTGTAAGTCTAAAAATAAATATTATTTGATAAATTGTACACTAGTGCAGGGCAGTGCCATTCCATGTTTTGGGTACTAGTTTGTTAACTTACAGCGGTCATGACTGTGCAGGATATTCCAAGATGCTGATAGTTGCTACTAGAACCAAGAAAGGACAGCAGAGTCTTTAGAACCAGAAATTTATTGTAGCTTATAGACTTTCCAAACTGACCTATTACCAATATACACATCTGAAAAGTTATACCCACAGTGGCTACAAACTGCATCAGAAAGTTTACAACCTTTCAGCATTAGCATTAAATCATGATCAGTTTTAGTCCTAAAATACAGCAGCTACAGTGACAGTATATGGAAGGATAAAGTCTTCTACACATTGACATTAACACAGGACAACTGTCAGACATAAGTTAAAAGTTCCCCAGTTTACTTAAAACTAGCAGTTATGTTACCACGGAAGTAATCAAAACCGGTTCCCCATTTTAGAAATCTAAAATTTTACATTAAAAAACAGTAAGCTAATTGTGTCTGTTCTTCCCCTGCTTTCAGGTCCATCTAGTATTGTAAAAGGCACTCCTCAGAGTCAAGCTTTACTCAGATAAAACCCACCACTAGGTCCCATTTCAAAACACTGGGAGGCAAGACGGGCAATAGGTAAGAATAGGTCTGCTCTGTAAATGAAACAAGCTTTTAGAAACAGCTGGCTCTGCCTTCCTTTTTACCTGTTTGTTTTCTGACACCCCACCCCCCCGTCAGCTCTTCGGTTGTTCCTTTAGCAGGTTTAGTCATTTCCCAGGGGGTTTTAAATCTGAGCCACTAACCTGCTTTGGCAGATGTGCTGTGCACCTAGAGAGCAGGCAGAGAACATTTAGTATCAAAATCTGGAACTTTGCTTACCATAATGAGGAGCAACTGGAGCTGTAGTTCCATATTGCAAGTAGACAAATTGCTCTGTAAACCACTACCAAATGACAAAGCAAATATGCAGATATTCAGAATTCAAGGCTCTGACTAGGACCAAAAGTAAGTTCAATGGAGAACACGACCTGCCTTACGAAAAATCTAGCCTCACCACCATGGGGTCATAACTTACTTTTCGTACCTTTCAGCCATTCCTTTAAGAGAGTCCTTTGCAATTCCAAGTTAGAGAGCTCTGATCAACGACAACCAAAGTCTGCTGTGTCTTGATACAAAGAGTAACTTGATTCACAAGGTTTTCTGGTTGGATAATGTACGCTATAATTTCACCAGCAGGAACACACATTTACTAAGTGTAAACAAAAGGCTTAATACACCAATGGGTCCATGGTACTGTACAAGGAGCTACAGGGAATGAGCAGGAGTGTGTCTAAAAGGAATGAAGTCACTATGCCCCCCAACCCTCCCACCCCCAAAATTAGAAAAGTTCAAAATCCAAAAAATAAACCCTGATCTACGCCGACTGGCAGCCAAGGCGCGCAGGGACACAGGTCTCCAGCTTTCCAGCCTTGATGACCATGAGAAGACTCAAGTGAATAACCTGCCCTGGCGGCAGGGTCAACAGCGCAGCAGCTTTGGACTACAGCAAGCCCCATGCCGATTACCCGGGGCTCTGGCAAGAACACTTAGCACAGCAGCAGCAGACTGACTCGCCCCACATCCAGGTAGCCTTTATTTTTTCCCCAGTAACCCTTATACTGAAATGAGTTAAGGACCAAAGACCAACTGTATTAGGCAGGGCAGTTGAATCTCTGTTAGAGATCCTAAAAAGCCTTTACAGAAAGTCACAGGCTTGTCTGTTCCCTCTGCAAACGTAAAGGGGGGGAAAAAAAAAAAAAAAAAAAAAAAAACAACAGAGCAGGGCTTGAGTGATTATGGCAGTCAAGGCCAATGACACTTAATACATCTACACTAGATAACTGTGCCCATGCTCCTGCTGCAGTAGTTATGAGACGTGTGTTACTTCATGCTTCATGATTTTTACCTTTAGCATGTTTTAAACCCCAATCCCTGTTTTCACTACCACAAATGACATAATTACATAATTCCAAGATATTTACAAAACATTAAAAAGTCTGTTAATCTTCTACATATTAACCTCATTCTGCCACTTTACACATGCACTAGTTTGGGAAAAAATAAAATTCACCAGGCTGAAATGAGCAATGTTACCCTTTGTCAACATGTGATCTTTGCATCGGTCAGAAAGAGGAAGAGGAACAAAGCCAAAGTCGCTTCACCGGGCAAAGAGACAGTCCAGAGACTTGTGTGCAATGGCTACAGATCTGCAGAGTCACTTAGCTGAGATGACATGAAGAAAAAGTGCAAGGTGGTTCCTCACATAGTGTAAAAAAATCCAGTCACTGAGGCATGGGGGAGGAAGGAGAGGTGCTAACCACAATTCTAGAGACAGCATTAGAACTAGCCAATACCACACACACACTGGGAGGCGCGCTGGTCGGAGCTACTGGCCAAATGACTTTTTTTTTTTTTTTTTACACCATGGATCCTTAGGAACAATGGAGTGAATTACAGTGGAGTCTTCTTGAGCAGGAACAAAGACAAAGGGAACAGCTGGAATCAATAGCTGAGGGTAGAGTCGTCCCATTCCAGCTGTTGCTGTCTGTTAACATTCTGTTGGTCCTCTTCCTGCTCCCCTTCTTCCTCCTCGCTACTTTCAGACTCTGCACTAGTGATATCATCTTCTTCCTCGCCATCTTCACTTTCTTCCTCCTCCTCCTCCTCCTCTTCCTCACTGCTGTGCTGGTCCTCATACGTCTGTTAGACACAAATTAGCCATTGATTTCACAGCTGCCTACCTTCCTCCTCCCCCTTTGCATTAAAACAGACGGCGCTATCCAGAGGAGCAGTTTGAGGAAGTTCAGCACGTAGCAGGCTATTAGCAAAATGCTAAGCAAGTGCCTCTGAGGTGGTTCTATGATTTTACAAAGATACCAGCCACTCCTGCCACTTTTTAGCAGAAACCCGTTCCCCGAGGTGATCCAGTACTTCAGAAGCTACTATTGAAAAAGGATCCTTGGATGTCAACACACAGCAGCATTACCTGTTTAAAATCTCGTTTCCTGCTTTTCTACATCAAAGTATCAACCGGGAATGAACTATGCCAACAGCTTAATGGAAAAGCTAATGTGGTGTGGAGTTTGGCATAACTCACTCATTGAATCAGCCACTCAGACTCATTACCAGCCTGGCATAATCTATGGGGTCCTCCTTTGAGCAGCTGTCTACCACAAAGCCTCGCGGCACTTAAGAGCACAAATCTAAGTGCCACGGCTAGTTGGTCCAAGGAATTGATTCATATTTTCCTGGGCCTAGTTAAACAAATGGTGTCAAAGTTTGCATCTCCCAACCTATCCCATGTTTTGTGATTTGCTCTCTTCAGTGACCCTTTCCAGAAGCGTGACTGCCATAGCTGAATATTTTACAACCTGGAAAGCGGCGTTTTAAGAAAACGCCAAGACACAAGCCTTACCTCCATAGGGTTCACAGTGATGGTCAAGGCGGAGTCATCCCAATCCATCTCGTTTTCCTTTCCAGTATCCTGGTCACGCATCGTTCTCTGATGTGCAGCCCGGATTCGGAAGACTCCCAGGATAATCATAAAAACCAGGAAACTGACACAAACCACGATCACAACAGTTGCAGTACTTGGGACAACTGTAACAAGATGAGAGAAGGACCGTTTTACAATAACCAGTCATGCTAACACGCTGCACTTTCTAAACATTAACTAAGTCTCAATTCCCCCCCCCCGCAACAGGAAGTGGATAAGCATAACCCCCATTTTACAGATGGCAAATGGAGGCAAACTGAAACTTAGTCAGTGGGAGAGCAAGGACTGGGGCCAAGAAGTTCCTGGCTCCCACTCAGCTCATCATGTTTTTCTGTTGACAGCACAATTCGGAGCACCAGATTTATATCTAGCTCAAGTCACAAGGGAAGTTGGTGCCATTAATCCAATCCAATGAACAAATGTTCACAAAAAAGCAAATACGTCATTTCACTAGGGCTAGCAGCATCTCTTCAAGAGGCATAAAGTCGCACCTATACTCATAGGGCTAGAAATGAGTAGGACTGGCAGAATAAAATCAGCTCCATTATACCCAACTTTAGTTAGTACTAGTGGGGTTTCTAAAGGCTACTGAAAAACCATGCAAGGGGACCAACCCATCACTCAGTTTTGGACAATGGCCGAGTTCAAGGGAAGAATGCTGAGGTTTTCCAAGGTATTCTTCAGAAGCCCACTCCTACCTCCTCAGACTCATTTTGGGATCTTATACTGCACCCTCCCATACCAGTATGCATCTCAGCTCCAAAATTATCAGGTTACACACACAGATAAAGATCCTGGTGCAGTCAGGGGAGAAGGCACTTTGTTTCTGCCACTGGACTGGCCTCTTTGTAAATCTCCAGCCAACTGTTCATCTCAGCTGGAAGGAAGATTAGTTTAATATGCTGCCCGTCTCCAGACAAGAATCTGAAGCAACTTGAATGCTCTGCAGCACGAAGTCACCCGGTAGTCTAGCAATGGCGGTAAGTGATTTTCTTACCTGAAAACGGGTGGGGGTTAGCTAGGTTGTGACCAGAGAGATCAACAAATGTATGATGCACTGGGTGGACAAACTGTGGTTGGGCAGCTATATGATTAGCATGTTCAACTGGGTTAGCTGTGTGGATAACATTCACCTGAGAACAAAGGGAAAATGTCAAACTAGGGAAAAAGAATAGCTTGCCAAGGCACTTGATCAAATAGATATGCTCCGGCTGTAGAGTTGGCACATGCCCCTTCCAATAAAGCACATCTGACTTCCTAAACTGTATCTGGTTATAGGTACAAAGCAGTGTGCAGACACCATTTTTTCAGAATAAGAAAGCTAACAAGTACATACTGAAATGGTTACGTTATTTTTCATTCACCTATTTTGTTATTTCACCACGTGTCTGTATAGAGCAAACTTTAGCTAACAGTGATGGGTAAATCCACATGACAGACTAGGCAGAAGACGTTGAGGTACTTTGAAATGCCAGATACCACGTTTCAGAAGTTTAACACAGGTCCCCCAAAAGAACTTCTTTCATTTAGACAGGCTCAGCTGCAAACAAGTTTCATGTTTTGGTGACCGCTCTCGTCCTATGCATAACTTAATGAGTCCCCCCTGGCGCTCGAGCATGATGTGGTTTGTGACCAGCTGCACAGCAGGAGGACTGGAAGTGTAACACAGGGTAAGGACAGCACTGCCAGTCTGAAAAAGTTTGGAGGGAGCTGGCCTCAGTGTTTACAGTGCTTCAAGAAGCAAATGCCGATTAACCAATCATGCAATTTCTATTCTTTGTGCATGCTGGGGTGCGTGGAGGGGAAGGCCATCAATTGTTGGTAAGTCAGACTCTTATTTTCACTGCCTGCTAATAAGCTGCACTTATAATAAATAAATAAAAAGTTAGCCTGACAAATTCAAGGGCAGAATTACAAAATAGATCCATGACAATGGCAACAATACATATAAAAAAAAATGACTTCATGCTACTGCAAAATGTCACAACTTTATTATCCCTCAAGTACTGATTGATGTAAATGTACATCAAAGCCTGGCAAACACTGAGGGTTAACTAACTTTGAAGTTCACATCAAGTAAAGTCATTAATTAGATTCTTCTGCAGATGGAATGCAATTTTAGCCATACTAGTCTCTTCTTTTCCAGTGAAAGCATGCAGGGCAATATACTTCTTTCTTTAAATCTTTCTCCTACAGTCAGCATTAGTGCTTTAGATCAATCTCTGTATTATGCAAAGTAGAAAGTAATAAGCTTCAGAGCTAGATTTTTATTAGTTCCTTAGTCACCTAACTAGGAAGTATAGCAGGGCTTAGCTGCTTAAGGTCCAAAGAGCAATTCAGATTAGCCCAGAGCCAAACTCACTAGACACCTCTCTTTTGTGTTCCTGTACATGATCAGAAACAGGGTGGATGTGATTTGAATCAAATCCATTTAAATCTCTGGTCAGGAAGCCTGGATTTAATCATTGGCATCTACAAAAAGTGCATTCTTGTTGTTTGATAGCCTTTATTCATTTAACTTGAAACTTTGCACTTTTAGGAGAGAGGCAAGGACTTGCAGAGAGACAACAGGGATGATGGGTGGGTAATCAGGGCTATTATCTGTCATCTCTATATACTGCTGTCAACAAGGATGTTATCTCTGGAGACACCAATACACAGTTTGACAACTGAAACTAAGGATCACAGAGATGCTTAATGGGATCTTAATCTAGACTGAGTGCTGAGTCCCACTGGGTAGAGTGGTCTTCTGTAATCTTTACTAATCTAAAGAGGAGACTCTGGGAACCCCATAAGATTCAGCCCCTAATATAGTCTATGGCCTGTTGTGACCTATTATAAAACTTTTCTAAAGCAAATTACATGAATAGATCATCTCAAAGTTACAATTCATATTCCATGATGATATCTTCGAGCTTTAACGCATCTTAAATTAAAACCATCTTTATACAGTTGGGTTTTTTTTAAAGCATCTTAACAACAAAATTAAAACGATTAAATCGAAGAAATCTGATTTAAATAAAAAAAATCAAAATTTTATTTTATTTTTTTTAATCATTGATTTGTATCTACTCTGCTCAGCAGCAATCTGCCTGGTGGACTAAAAAGTTGCATCACAGCACCTAGGTCCTCCCTAAGCTTTACTGACTTTCAAACTGTTATTAAGCTGTGCCTAAGCCCCTGGAGAGGCCTTCACATGTAGGCACACAAAAAACTAACATGCTCCGAGCGAAGCTCGACAGCAATGCCCACCAACCGCACTTGAACACTTAACCACACTTAGATCAGTGGGTGACATGTTCAAAACCCTCCCTGCCCCAAGGAAACTTGAACAGCTTCCTTACAATACAAGCTGATGAACGCCAGGTCCCAGGGACATGACTTAATTATTTACAGGGCAGAAACAAAAGCAGTTATTAATAACAGTTTTAAAGCAAATTTCAAATATGCAGCTTCCTGACAACCTTGGAAAAGATGAGATCAACTCACATACCTCCACTTTGAATTCATTGCTGACATAGCGTCCATTTAGCTCAGAGCAGACCAACTTGAACTTTCTGTCAAAGAGGGAGACGGTGTGCCAGTTTCGGTAGCGTATCAAATGCAAAACCTCCTCGTAGCTGGCCATCGTATCAACCCCTGGGGGGAAAAAGCAGCAGCTCCTTGTTACAAAAGTAAATTGTTTTTTCAGAGTTTGAATACAAGGATGATAACATTTTCACACACACAACTTTATTTCCCTGTTTGTGCCGTGAGTACTGTTGTGGGATTGATAAAATGATTTTCCTTGTTGGCACCTGCATCTTCGTTACAATTGCATTATTTTTTCTAACCCCTGATCACTGACAGCTTGTCAAAATCAGTCTTCAAAGGGAAAGAAACAATGTATGCACTAGGCCATGGGGTTATCCACAAGACAAGCAAGCTTTTTCTTTAGTGGCACTATGTTCTTCAGGTCTGCAAGCTACCGGGAAATTTGGGATGAGGTAGCAGATTGGAGGGGAAATCCTGCTTTCTGCATTTTTCAGAGCTTTGCTAGAACCAGGAATTGTAAAAAGAGCAAACGTACAGGTTTTTCAGATGACAGTACTGGGTTCAAACTCCATTTTTTACTAAACAAGACTCCCCCCCCCCAAGGTAAAGCCTTATACGGAGAATATTTAATAAGCACAAAATCACAGGTGTCATTATCATTAGTAACTTCGTTGCACAAAGCCAAAGGTCGCAGCCCCTTACCAGTGATGATCATGCCAAGGTTTGAACTGCTCATCTCAATGCCTTTCTGCTGTAATCGGGTCATATCAACCTCCAAGCTTTCTTGTTCCTGATTTAACTCCTCTCCCAGCACTGTGACCTCACATGTATCCAAGTTGTGCATGATCTCTTCAGACACTAAAGATTCTTGGACTGAAAAGTGAGAAAAACCCAGTTACAATAAGAAGAGTCAAAAGCAGAAAGGATGGAATAGGAGCTGTAATGTCATATTCAAGGAAAATTCTTCCCTTCGGAAAAATGTAAAAAGATTTGGGCGCAAAAATCCCCGTTTAAGAAATTCCATGCAAAAAAAAAAAATCCTTGGAGATGATCACACTCTAAGGCTGTTCTTATTTCTTCATAGTTTCATAGTAGTTAGGGGTCAGAAAGAACCTAAATAGATCATCTAGTCTGACCCCCGCCACTGGCCAGAGCACACGCTGGGATCACACGACCCCAGACAGGTGTTCCTCCAACCTCTTTCTGAATTTACCCAAGGTAACAGCGAGGACCACTTCCCTAGGAAGTTGGTTCCAGATCCTAGCCACCCTAACAGTGAAATAGTGCCTCCTAATTTCTAACCTGAACCTATTCTCCACCAGCTTCTGGCTATTGTTCCTCATCACCCCAGGTGCTGCTAGGGGGAATAGGGCCCTTCCTATTTGCTGCTGATTTCCCCTAATGAGTTTGTAGGCAGCCACCAAATCCCCCCTCAGCCTCTGTCTGCTGAGGCTAAAGAGGTTCTGATTGAGGCTCTACATATCCACTCTTTCCACAGGCCTGCCTGCCCATTCCTCTACTGTGATACTGAAAGAGGGAAGCAAACAGTGCCATAAATCCAGTTGCATTGGGAGGGGATACCCACACATGGAGGGAACCCCCATCACTGCAAAGATCCTTAGGGGGAAAACCATCCAGAACCCAATGAGTAAGCAACTGACTCTGTTACCTGTAGGATCTTCATCTCCATCTCCTTCTGGTTCCACCTCCCGAGTGATTGTGCTGATTATGCGAAGTTCAGGGAAGAGGGAAACACCCTCAGGACTCTCAAACTCTGAGGCAGAGCGGGCAAAGTGGTTAATGCCACTCAAGCTGATCTTGGGTTCCTCAGGCTGCAAGACCATTACATACCCCTCCACAAGAGGGATGGAGATGCAGGCCTCTTCATTGAAACACCTACAAGATACAAAGGCTGTTGTGTAGTGCTAAAAACGAGCATGATTTACGGGCAGCATCAATATACTCTAGTGGCATCAAACAGTTAATACACAAAGAACGTAGTGTATTTAATTACATGGCTGCTATCTCAGACCCAAGGGTGCTGTAATGAATCCATCAATTGTGTAAAGATGGGATCTCCCAGAGACGGGAAAATGTTAAAATGAATTCTTTGCTCACTGATGACATCTTGCCCCATTTTCTGGGCTATGACTTACAGCCACAGATAATGCCAGCAAGGCAGGCTGCAATCCTGGAGAAGTCCTTACAGTATAACATTTGCACCAGAGAGCCTCCCCATTCTTGCACTTCTGGATTAAGATCGCACTAGCTCTTAAACAAACAATGAATGCCAGATCAACACAGTAGGAAGAATAAATGAAACTGGAAACAATGGCTGCCATGCCTAATAACAAGGCTGGGAGAAGCTAAATTATTAAAAAGATAGTGACAGTGCTCTTCCAGTTTCATGAAAATGTGGAAGGTCTGACACTGCACTGTGTAGGACTTAGTTTTGCACCAGAAGCAAGTGCAGCCGGGAATTATAAAGTGATACTTTGCTTAGGAAGACTTCATATTTTTAAATCAGAATATTCCAAGTGTTGCTTTGGGATATAGTCAAACAACACTTGAGTGGGAAGCCAGGAAATTCAAACCCACTGAGAAATTTCAGCTGAAGCTCTGCAAAACAGCACTGCCACGTCTGACAAAAGCCCCATTCAAGCGTCCAAATAACCTATCACTTCCTTTTAATCAGCTGTCTCACACAGGTGCTTTTTGGCAACCACTATCTGCAGCAGTGGCCTATGATGCCCACTAGGGCACCCTAAGAATCAGTGCACATTCTTGTCAACACAAAGCACTCGGAAGAACAAGTTAAGGGTAGAAAATTTTAAAGCTATTATTTTCCAGTTTGCCCGTGGTAAACCCTCTCAACCAACAACTTCAAAACCTTCGAAAACCTAATTTGAAGACATTTTCACAGCAATCCAGGTAAATACACATGAATTTCAGGCCCTTAAGGCTATTATTTACAGCAAAAAGATCCTTTCTAGAAATCACATTATTTGAGGCATTTCCTATAACTGAAATGCGAGCTGCAGATGCCCAAACTGCAGGAACAGCTAGGTACTTGGCATCAAATGTTTGCTTTGATAATGAGAACAGTGGTTGCTGATCCATGGATCAGACCCCCTTCCACAGTACAACATCCAATCAACAGTTCAAGGAGAGAAATCAGCTTCTCTGTACAACAGACCAAACCCTGAAGGAGTCACTGGCTTAAAAACTTAACCAAAGTTCGTTGAAATTGATGGTTCCGTTCCCCTCAATGCTCCAGGCACTAGATCAAGGCTTTCAAAAACAAAGGCCTGCATAAGTGACCACTGTGAGCTTTACAAAAGGGTCTGAAATTAATGATCAATGAGATTCAACTGGAGTGTAAGGGCCTTTCTTCCAGCTGCAGCATCACGAAGTAGAGTTTCATTTATTTAAAACAGGACCTACTTGACTGTGCTGGTGATTTTGAGCCTCCGGATTCCAGGTGTTGGGAACTGGCGGGAATTCAGGTAGGAAACGTGCTGCATGGCCTTGTCAAACTTCTCAATATCATCCCCTTCCAATGTCACTGTTGACTGGCTGGGGTTCATATGGATCTAAGGATCATTCCAGAATATGGGAGAGAAAAAAGAAAAGAAGTTCCAAATGCTAATGTGCTAGATCAATTAAACCACCAAGCTTAGGACTACTTAAATTGCTAAGTATTGGATAATCAGCATTTATATGCAAAGCAAAAAGGTTCATTATTCAATGGCTGTGCAAGTCACTGTTTAACTTCCCAATTAGCCAAAAAAGGTAGGTCAAATATTTAGAGTATTTCACTATCCAAAGAAAATCCTATGAGCTTGGCACAACACTGGAAGAGATCAAGCTAGCAAGTGAGGAAACTAAGCTTTATTCTCACAGCCTTTGTTACTGAACTACATGTATGTTAGGCCTATAGCTTTCAGTAATTACCGTAGAAGTCAAATATATGTTCAGCACTTATGCAGCCATTCACAATTTTCAAAGGTCATCGAAGCCAGGTACGTACCAAAAAGGATGGCTGGTGCAAGTAAGTTATTTAGGGGTCTGATTTTCAGGTCAGTTTTATACAGGCTAAAGTTGTGGTATGGATGCAGATACACTGATGAAAGACAGCTTCTTCCCAAGCACAGCCTTTTCTGGTTGGTAGACTGAATAGGCTGTATCAGTAAAAGCCTCACCTATTATCAGATAACCTTTCCTTAAGGAATCGCAGCAGATGCACTTCACTTAATCTGTATGCCACTTTACCTTCATGCCTTTGCCAACGCCATCTGCAATTTGTAAATCCAGTCCTTCCTTGCAAGTGTAGAGGCAGTCTATTACCTTCTTGTTCTCAAGTTTACCAGAACGTATCATTAACCCAGCCAGATTGCCTCGGAAAAACTGAGCCATGTGGAGTTCACCACCTATAAATGGAAGTGGGGGGGAAGGAAAAGAGAGAAATCAAGCTTTACAGGCCTTGGTCCTTTTCATTTTTTTTTTTTTTTTTTTTTTTT